CTTGATAGGGCCTTATAGAGGTACATTCCTTGGAAAAGGCGCTACGCAGCGCCTGCTCAGGGGCGCGGAATTCCGTCCTGCGGGTTATCATTGCTACTCAGGGATTTATCGTGCCAACTGCCTTTGATACGCTTTGCGTAGACCACATAACTGGAGCTCTCAATCGCTACAGAACATCGATGCAAGAATCAAGAAACCATTACTAACTGTTGGAACACCCTACTTTTACTAGCATTATTTCTCCGAAGTATTGTTCAATATTTAGTGCGAATATGGCGGAGAATAAGGATTTGGATGCATTGGTGACAGTGCTGAATAGTGTGATTTTGACCAGAGCCACGAAAGGAGGGGCAAGAATTGTTGATATCAAAAAAGATTATAAGTGAGTTGATTACTTTGTTTGAAAACTGGCGAATAAATTTATTGTGCAGTTCCTCTTCAGGGATTTGTGTGGAAGTGACATAGATACGCGCAAATTTGGGTTTGATGGGTTGGAAACACTTCTCAAGGCATTTCGCCACAAGTTTAATTGCCAGGTACATTTTTCTAGGCGGAAATCTTGTTAATGGGTTTCTTTTTAAAGAGCTCTAGACCCCTACTATTAAAGGGAGACAGGTGGTTTGGTGAAACCACCAAAGCAGCTGAAAGCATTGTCCAATCGATGGCGACAGGAAAAACTCAAGAAAGGAAGTGCGTGTTTCTCAGACATTGGAAGCGTACTTCAACCAAATGTTCTATTGCACTTTATAGGACCGCTTCGTAGACCAGCACATGCAATTGGACCGCGACCTGGATTTCGTCCCACGCCCAATCGACCGTACGTACTATTGTTTTCAAGATGTTTGGCAGAGTTCGGCGACGGAGCGGGATGGGGGTGGGTAGGCATTTTGCACTTGTGCTGCTTCCCCAGTTCCGGTTTACAAGTCTCACTCTGGTGAGACCTGTGAACTCTTGTGAAGCTGGAGCAAGCTCATCTAGCCATCATGGTAAAACCTGTCAACTCGAGAAGAGGCTGCCAAGACAGGTCGCCACGTCGATG